CGTCTGACAGACACAATATGCTGCTGAATACAAAAATATGATAAAAGCAAAGTCAAAATAATCGGTCGACTAGACTTTAAGTAATATCATTCAAGTGGAACTGAGAATGAAGATAATGTCACATAGCCGAAGCGCCGGGTTTACTGGGGTTTACTAGTTGTAGGATTCAAAATAAGACATTAAAGTGGAAAGGAAATGCAACACCTTTTTTCAGTCCCATTAGCTTATCAATAAGTTAATTAAACACACTCAAATGTGCTAGGTAAACATACTTGATAAGCAAAATTTATTCCTTACTATGTGAATCACTGAAATCTTTAATACGATACAATTTGAATTTTATTATATTTCACTAATTAAGAGGCGAACATAAGTATAAGCCATTGGTCTAGACTATATATGGATATATATAGAGAAATCTGAGATCGAAATTCTCAATCCGACCAATGTAATGCAAGACAGGATCTAGCCGAGTTACCTGAGCTGGTTTGCCGGGTCGTTCAAAGAAGTCACAATATATTGAGCCCACACGAGCACGACTAGCTTCGCAGTAAACGCCAACCTTGATGATGTCTGAGTGCCAGATCTCACCAGGTAACACAGGTTCTGGCTGCAGACGGAGGCCAAAAAGGCATGATGCTAGCTGACCAACACCCTCCATACATGCACCCAAAGAAAAATAATCAGCAAGGTGCTGGACAAGCAATCGAAAATATAAAGGAAAAGAGAAAGAAAATAACTCGAATCGGAAATGTATTTCAAAATTGTCTCAAGATAAAGGTCTGAAAAAGCAAAACTGGAAAAACAGGTCTAAGGCAATTAGTCATTATTCGTGGTTGCTCGGATGAAATTTCATGCATAATGTTAACACTATCCTTCCTACCTTTACCTCATTTGAATAAGGTAAAATTCTTATTTTAGATGCCCTCCCCCAAGAGACGATAAGATGTGTTAGGAACACCTCGTGGAGGCATCCAACAGATAGGTGACTGCTGATTCACCTACAAATGTGTATTTTTTATGGTTTACTAACTTTTTTTGATAAGAAATACGTTTATCGTTTGCGAAAGTAATTAAAACATGGAACCAAAAATATAGTAAATGCATCTGATATTGTTACCTGCCAAGTCTTAACTGTGCGGGCGGAGTTAATAGCATAGGAAATGTCCCATAAATGCAGGCGATCATCAGAGCCTGGAATATTTGCATCACTTGACAAACCGATGCGAATAAGCCTGCTTGCAGCCGTTTTACTAGCCAATGGGCGAAGATGCTTGGCTAAGCGTTCAAGAAAGGAAGTAATGCTATCGGGTGACTCAGCCAAACTGTTCAGGGTCGCACGATGAGCGAAGGAAGGCAGATCTGCTAAGCTTGAAGAGAGGAATGAAAGAAAACCAGTCAATCCGAGCTAGAGTACAACAAGTATATCAAGAAAATAATATATAATGCTTAAGTAAAGATACATGAGAAACACTTGGACGAAAGTACTGGCAGAAATGTAGCCTAGTCTGAATATTTTGTACTTCATAGGTATCATAAAGAAGCATAAGAATGTGAAATAATCGCAAAAATAAATATAGAAGAAACAAAGCCACTTTAATTAAAGTATGATTATTAATAAAGTAGTCTCCAAAACAACTCTCATCAAATATAAGTAAATTTGGAAGTGGCGATGTTTGGAGAAAAATTGATCTAGCCATAAAATCAATATAATGGTATTTTTACGGAATATCAGAGGGAATCTCGATCACTTCTGGGAAATTCGAACACAAGACATGTTGTATCGACGCTAGACCAAATAAAGTCACTGTCATTTTACTAGAGGACAGACAGGGCCAAATTAAGGTATCGCTAAAACATGCTTGATAAGGCTGACATTTGCTCCACAAAACTAAATTCGACTAATATAATGAAATATGAATATCGAAACGTCCGTGTCCATGGATTCATATGCTAGCGATTATTAAACCATTCAAAAAAATATGCTAATGTAGGACTGGTTAAAAAATCACGAGAAAGCCTAGTTATATGATTATATTCGAAGGCATATAATTTGTCCAGAATCCGCATCAGTTTTGAGCGAAGTCGGAAGATAGCTTAATCACTCTGTTCTGACATGCAATATGTATGCCAGTATAAGCTCGAATAAAATCGTGTCTGCTTCGCGTCTAGCTTCATTTAAGGTCAACAATGACAGGCAATTATTAAGCAACAATATGATTGACTAGAAACTAGGAAGAATATTGTCTAAGAAATCAACTAAGAACAAGGCGAAGATAGAAAAGGGCTGGTCTTGGATCATTTTTTTTATTTCAGAAGTAGGTTTTTGAGACTACATATAGATATAAAAGCTGTATTCATCCAATTTCATTTAAGGTGATGAAGGACTGAGTTGAATTTTCCCAGAATGAAATCAGTAAGTCTTATGTATCCATAAAGTTTCATATAGCCTTGTTTTCAAATAGGGTAGCCTGTAGATTCGACCTCGACTAGGTCCTACTAACACTCTCAAGCTGGACTCGAAACTTTTTGGGAAGCAAGGCTATGTAAAACTCATATGAAACATGAAGGCTGCTCATAGCATAATGGGAAAATTCAAATATCAATCCTTCATCATTTCAATCAAAATAGGATAAATACAGCTTTTGTATTAATTATAGTGACAGTCTTAAAAAGCTACTTATAAAACTAAAAATGTGAACTGTAGTTGATTGCTATAGCAAATACAACATTTCCTCGTCGATAATCCCATCACATAGATATATGAGAAAGGCCAAAACTTCCTTGAATTTCACTTCTACTCTGTGACCCAAGGGCACTAGCAGTACTGGAGTAGTGGTTAACGTGCCAAGACTATACGATATACTATCAGGATTCGAGTACCGCTGAGGGTGATGAAGAAAGTTATACGAGGTTAAAACTCCAGTTCACTATGGATGAGAATACATTTAGAAAATATGAGGCCTACTTATAGAGTTCTGGGAAAATTCAACTTGGTCCTTCATTATCTTAAACGAAATAAGTGAATACAGCTACTATATAAGTTTTGACTATGCCTAAGTAAGGCAACGCCTAGTATTGAAATGGTTAAGCAACGTGAAGGACAAAAAAAATAAATTTAGTATACTCCAGATCGTACCAGCTCTAAAAATCTCTATATCAATATCGAGTTTATGAGACATACGTAAAGGTACGGGAGAAAATATGACCTGTATTGACTACTGTGATAGCAGATCATTACAATCATTTTGTTTAATAGGATGATGAAAATACAAGACTAATATGGAATAATAAAGTATAAATAAAATACAACAAATTATCATTATATTGAGAAAAATGAATGATGGACGCCAAGCCCGGACTTGTGGCATACTGAGCGTAGATGCCATAAATGTATAAGTGCGATAGTTACTATAAAGTCCCAGTAGATATAAGTCAAGCTCTAACTTATTATGATTATTTGTCAGGTATTTAGAAAGTAAAATAAGTTAGAGTTTTTTTAAATTATTTTTGCAACCTGGTCATATTGGTAGGAAGACTTAGAGGAACGGGCCTAGTCCGGAGCATGTTCATTTCCAGAGTAGGACCGTGGACGTGGTACATTCCCAGACGTTTCGACGACATCATGGTCGGTATCGTCAATGAGTATCGCCATTCTTAGCGCCATATAACAACTCGTCAAAGAGACAAGTAAACCTATCCTTTGACCAAACGTGTGCTAATTAGTTGTAGTATCTCCCCTTCTGCCCTAGGCTATTGAAATTTCCTATATCCTCCTATCACACCGTCACTGTTACATTTTTTTCTCTTGCTTAATTAAATCTAGTGTGATGTGACCTTTTGAGGTCACATCAAACAAATTGTATACAACGAAAGGAAACTACGATCACACAAAAGGCCACACCATCTTGGTCTTCATACCTTCGATTAAAATAAGTAATGATCCAGTTTCAATAATACAATAAACTTATTATCTAGGTAATAAAAATAGATACAATTGGAAACGAAACTATTTGCGAGTAAGAGATAGTAGCAGGGTTTGTAGGTACAATTTCAGGCCATGAGAAAATTATATTTGTCCCGAAGCAGAACTATTTCATGCACAATTCGAGCTATGAATGAAACCTTCTTTTATTATATAGTATTCTCTCTATTTGTTGAGTTGGCGTTCCATGAAGTTTACTTTCCTACATAATAGTAACACAAGAAATCGAGCAGCTCAAATCTGTTCAGATAACATATTAATGATTTGACCCTGTCTCAGATGCAATGGGGTCTTAGACCTTGGTATTCAATCAAAATCTAATGGAATAATATATCGTGTGGCTATAAGTTGATAATGACATAGAGTTTAACAATTCGGTCAAAAATTATAATTGTATACTTAGTTATGATCATTTTTTATTAATGGAGGAGCGTTTTTCGCCTCAATTATATAAAGTATTAATATTAACAAAATGTAAATAAATAGTAATAAGTTATTACCTGGCAATTTGATGCCTGGCGGATAGAAGGAGCCATAAAACTTCTTCCTGACCCTCTAAAGGCTGATAGTAAGCAGAGTAAGTCCCCTTCCGGACACTTCTTAAAGGATTATCAAGAAGAGGGCCAGTGTGAAGAACCGAAGCGTAATGAGGATTTAGGCCGAGCTCTTGAACTAAACTATGGGAAAATTGAACCGGGGAGTGAGCCAACTATCCAGAGACCATATAAAAATAACGAAAGAAAAGATACAAAAATAATTACTACTAAACTAGCTTATCTCGGATTTTAAAGGTCACAAAATTAGATTCGCGGTGTTCCCCTCACTTTGCTTCTGAGAAGTCCAACATAAAAATAGAAATTGCTTACAAAACAGAAAAGAGGTCCAAACTATATATTAGTAAATTTATAGATGTCAGGAAACCAATGGATGAACTTAAGCCCCATAAGAATTGAAGATTCCCCTAAAGTGCATGTAAAGCAATAGCCGAAACTTTACAGACAAATACAATAACATTTTAAAAAATCGTGTTGACTAATTTTACTATGTATATATATATATTGAGAGTAAGAACCTGGGAAAATTTTGAACTGAGATGGATGGCTTCCGAAGCGGCATTAAGAAAACTGTCCCGTCTTGCCGGATCGTGCCTCAAATGGACACCGGATAGACGGAAATCTGCAAGAAATAAGTCTAAAACATGTTTATCGACAGCGTCGCCTTCATTCTGATAAAGAGATGCTCGTTCTGCTGCATCGTACAAGGCAATATTGGTGTTCAGTTCTTCCACGAGTCGCCCAATCGTCTCGCACGCCTGGACTGCACCAGCACGAAAGTCCATCGATTGCG